CATTCAGTTAATTTATCAAGATACTATCTAAAACAACAAACCTAACAATTTATCTGATATGGGCAACATACAATTATCTTTTCCAGTATTTAGAAAGAGAGAAGGACAAGACCCAATAGTTAATAATAAGAGAGAATATTCAAGAAGCTATCAAAGCTGCCAACTTGAAATTCCAGAAATATTATAGTAATACTGAGTATTCAAAGAGTTAGCTGCTAGCTGTAGCTGCTGCTCTCCAATCATCACATTATATAAGAGTATATGATTCAGAGAATTGGACCAGTGATGAGCATAAAACATACCAATAATATATTTTGAGATTTTACAAAAAACATTATGAGAAATATAAACAGTCAAGAGAAGTAATACTTGATATAAATAATGTATATTTATTATAAGTATTATTCTGATTTCTTCTCTGCTAACTTCTCTAGAATATTGAGCAAATGATTTTTGAGAGATCTCATCAAAGATAAGCAAATTTTCAAAATGAAATGGAGTGATATTTAAATAACAAAAATTTAACATCATCTCAAGCTTCAATTCTGGAACAGTGAAGAATACTAGAGCCTGATTTTCCAACTGTTGCTTGGATGGCAAGAGACATTCTGGCTATATCTTTAACAGAAGTTGGAATAGAACAGATTTTCAATATTGCTCAGAATACATATTATTATCAATAATTACAGCTTCATGCATCTACAATCAAGAAGATCATGCTGCTTAAACATAGAGATAAGGTGTATATGCTAGATGAAGCACTCATATTACATAAGAAGTTGGCTAAGAAAGTCATTCAAGATAATCAAGATGATCAAGATACTCCAGAGATTATATGAGAAGAGATTGCAAGTCTGCTAAATCCACTACTTAATTCAGATAAGAAACAGAAAATACATCAATATTATCAATAGATAGACTCAAGTAGCTAATAGCTTGCAATATGATTCAATTATGCAAAGAGCATTACTAAATTTCAGTACTTTTCCAAAGTTGAATAAATTGATAAAATTATGTTAGAATCATTACCAAATTTCATTACTTTTTGACAACATAAATGAGACTGGGATTCCCAGTCTCATTTTACACTTTACTGGTCCTATCCCATATACAATATTGAAATTCCAGTTCTATTCTATTTTGTCATATCAGGTCCTAGACCTGTTCTACTAGCTAGATTTTGATCCCAGTCCCAATTCCATCCCAATCCCAGTTCCCACAGAACTGTCCCAATATACTATTAAACAGCCTGGTCCCATCCTATTAAGCTGAGCTTCAACCTGATCCTGTCCTCAGGACAGGAATTGAGACAGGAATCTGGAACTGGGATGGGAAATCCCGGAACCAGATACCACTTTAATAATTACTGTTCTACAACAAAGAATGTCTACTGCAACTGGTGGTAATACACATGTGGAATATCTATATAGACAAGCAGTAGTAATACAGAAGCTTGCATATTCAAGAATCTATAATACTCCATCAATAATAGAGAAGCTACAACAATGTATAAAAAATCACTTCAGTAGCTCTATGCCTCAGAGTTCAAGATGTCTGAATGAGGAATAGTGTTACAAATATAGATCTAGATCAACCAAGCATTAGACAACATCAGATATTTAGAGATACTCACATGACTTCAACTCTGAACATATAAGAATCACACAATTTACATGAATTATAGAAACCCCAGTGTTCAGTCTTCTAGTTAGAGAATCTCTACATTCTATACATGACTTCCTCTCATCAGTTGCAGGCATCATATCTACTTAGCTCTTTCATACCCCTAACCCTGAGAAAATCTATGTGACCTACAACTGGTTCTTCTAATATATTTAACAGTATGTGTTAACTGCTTTCTGCCATTACTGATAGTATGAACTAAAGTTGATTTAATGTTCTTCTCGCTTTTTTTCTTTGAAGTACAGTAAAAGTACTGGAGAGATGTGACTCTATCTCTGTACTGGAAGATTGCAGCCAGATGCTGAAATGTCTCTGAGCTATTATAATCAATAAGAATTTATTCAACAACTGGAAGAACAGAGAAGGGAAGAAAAGCAACTAAAATCAAGTCTCAGACTATTAAAGACATAATCTGAGATAATTGTGATAAAGCAGTAGAGAAAACAGAGCTTTGATTATAGATTCAAAGTTAGCAGAAGAAAGAGACTGATATTTTTAATAGATTTATAGGCTTGAAATAATCAGAGAAGTAATATTTCTGATCTACTATAAATGTTCATTTCATCTAGTAAGCCCTGCCAAAATCTCACCCATCTCAAGATTCTGGCTCAGACACTTCAGATTTAATATTATCTTAGCATATTCTCTGCAATTTCTTCATACAGCAAGCACATTGATGAAAATCACTCCAGTCAGCATGAGCTATAAGCAGCTACACAAGTATGCAACTAAGAGAGATATAGTTCAGATATAAGTACAAGTATATTAAAGACAACAATAGCAGTAGCAAGAAGTCACATCAGCAAGCATAGTAATATTATTTCACAATATCTTCTTAATCTGCAATTTCTGAAGTAAGACTAGTCTTTTCCAGTCTGTTGAGAATTCACTTTATGTGTTGGCAGATCTACAGAATACTCTTAATATAGTATCTGTTGAGTATGAAAGCTCTAAGCTACCAGACATAATTAAAGAGAATTTGCTTGAGTCTGAGTCTGATAAAATAAAGTATGAGAGCTCTTCATTATCAGCAGAATCCAGCAGCAGTGAGAATGATTAGTTATCTGCAACAAAATAAGATAATCAAGTATTTTAAATCCCTAATTATATTTTAAATCCAGCAATACTGTTAGGAGAACTGGTTGTAGGTCATATAGATTTTCCTAGAATTAGGGGTATGAAAGAGCTAAGTAGGTATAATATCTGCAACTGATGAAAGAAAGTTATGTGTAGAATATAAAGGTTCTCTAACTAGAAGACTGAATGCTGAGGTTTCAATAATTCATGCAAATTGTGTGATTCTTATATATTCAGAGTTGGGGTTATGTGAATATCTCTGAACATTCAATATTGTCTGATACTTGATTAGTTTAGATCTACATTTGTAACACTATTTCTCTATCAGACATCTCAGACTCCAAGATATAGAGCTACTAAAGTGCTTTTTCATACATTGTTGTAGCCTCTCTGTCATTGGTGGAGTATTATAAATTCTTAGATGTGCAAGCTTCTGCATTACTACTGCTTGTTTATATAGATATCCTGCATGTATATCACTACTAGTTGTAGTAGACATTCTTTGTTGTAGAACAGTAATCATTTTATTATGAATATCTAGTATTTTATTATGTACTTGTTTCTTTGTTTGTTTGCTTGTCTGATTGCTATATTATCTGTTGTTTGTTGTCATGTTGTCTATTAACAAGTCATGGAACTAGCAACTTTAGTGTGTTATAGTATAAATATAAATAGAGAGTTTCTGATTCTCTTCTTTCTTCTTTTTCTTCTGCTTTGTTTGAGCTCAGATGTCATTTCTTGTTTGTTTTATAACTTTTTATAATATTGTTGTTGAAAGACTCTATTACATATAATAAAGAAGATACTCTTCTGTACTATATTTGTATTTACTTGATGTTTATAAATTATCTGAATGAAGATGAGTCTTGTCTATAAAATACTGAGAAGAAATCTTGTTCTTATTATTTAAAACATCAAATCTGTATCTGTTGTAATGTAAGTATGTCTTTGTCTGTTCTTTTTATTATTCTGACATAGCTGTAGGTTCCAGAATCCACTGTCAAACTAGTTCATCAGCTCTTGCAACTTCAAGAAGAATACTATAGTTTTAATACAGTTAATTCACATCATTTATACAATATCAAGTACATGAGTATACTTGTGTAGATATTATACTGTTGATTAGACTATATAGTTATTTATTCTGAATATTCCAGTATTGTGAAATCTTCAAGTTCTCTGGTTATAGTGAAGTCTTTTGTCTTTTCAGAATAATCTTCTCAGTATTCACTTGACAGATTATCTTTAAGATAGCTTTACTTTATGCTAGATAGTTACTGGCTTTAGTCAAGATTATAGACTTCTTTACTATCTTCAAGATCTTCATGAATTGGGTGATCACTCTGCCAGTTTGTGTATTTGTATCTATAAGATTGCTGACATATTCTTCTAGTTTGTTCTTGGAGTCTATTTCTCAGTCCTCTTCTTGTTAAGCTTCTTGCTCTGGGTTCTGCTGCACTGTTGCAGGTATATTTGCTTGATCTGATAGAAGATTCACTTGCTGTACCAGCTGTTGTACTGTCTTCTGTTGTCTTTGCATCAACTCTTGTTGCTTTTGCATCATCTTCTGTTGATTCAGCATCATTTTGTGTAATATTTGAAGTTCATTCTTCTCTCTAGGCTTCTGCTTGTTTGATAGATTATCTCTGAGCCTATCTGACTGTCTAAGCTTAGTTTAAGATGTTGAGAGATTTGTTGGAGTCTTCTAGTTGGAAGTTTGATGCTCTGATTTATCTGTATGATTTATCATGACTTTGGTGTTAGATGCTTAATTTGCTTCCTAGATGCATTTAGCAGATATTTTACTTACTCTCTAATTGTGTACCAGAAAGCTACAGAGTTTAACTTGCTCTCCAGCTTGATGCTAGAAAGCTACAGAGATTTGCATGTATAGAAGATGTTTATCTTAATGTACACTCTCTTTAGTGTTTGTAAAATCTCATTATTCACAAGAATAACTATTCAGAGTGTTGATTATAAGCTTCAATAACTATTTGAGCTGTAAATCAATCTTATATACTTGCTCTTCAGTGGAAAGGGCTATAACCTGATGGAGGACTTGTATGCTTATCATTCACTAAGCTACCTAAAGAGGAATCTCAGCTAGTCTATGTGGGTCACATGAGTGAGGTGCTAGTTGGATTACCTAACAAATAGGAAGACTCCGGAAAGATATTCCAAAATAGAAATCTGACAGCCCCAAATAGGGGGAGTCAACCATCCCAACCCAAGGTCCCAAGGGCCGCTTCCTCCTGCTCCGACGAGGACAACGTTTGAACTCCTGCTTGACCGTCGATTCCAAGTAGACTGAATCTATCCAAGTGGGAGAAGCCCGCCGGGGAACGACACAAAGAAGCCTGCAAGTGACTTCCCTGAGCGAGGTTGTTTCGATCTTCAACCAACAACCAACACCACGGCCACCTCAGAAACCCGAGAAACAGTGCAGGTAAGTCCGAATCTTTTGACAAGCTAAATCGGTCTACACTTTGGAAAGCTTCAAGTTCTCTCCAGCTGAAACGATCTACAAGTACTTAGGCACAGTGTGAGTCCAAATACACCACGCTCAGCCGTGTTCGCCGTCGCATCCGCCCGCCGCCATGGTTTATCGGATGGAGATATACGTAGATGGAGGGTGCAGGTACAATGGCTACTCGAATGCAATCGCTGCCGCAGCCGCAGTTCTCCAATATCGCTGGGGAAACAACTATAAGTACCGAACGTGCCAGGTCTCCGGGGACGCCACGAACCAACGGGCTGAGATCACTGCCATCATCCTTGGTTTGCAAATGGCATTGGACAGATACGAAGAGCTGGACACATCCCCATCCATCGATGTCACGATCTATTCGGACTCCAGGTATGCGATTGGCTGCATGACTGAGTGGATTTACAAGTGGAGCAATAATGGCTGGACCAACAGTCGAGGAGAAGAGGTGGCGAACCGGGATCTGATCCAGGAGGCCTCGGATCTTGATGACGACGTTCAAGATCTAGGCAGTGTGACGTACCGCTGGATTCCCCGCGAAGACAACGACCTTGCTGATAAACACTGCAATGAAAAATTGGACGACATGGAAGGGTATTAAGATCCCCGATTCTGATGACCACTGGTCTGTGGTCAGGGCTCCGGCCAGCGTTCGGACCGTTGATTGGTATCGACCGCTCACTCGATGCTGGACGTCGCAATATGCTTATTTCCCACTGAGTCGGCAACCATCCCATTAGAATACCACTCGCGTTCAATACCCTACGCAGGAGAGGACACCGGGGGTTCGAATGCATTGTGGTTATACCTATGCTCCTCGCAACCCAAGGGTTCTAGTGCCGCTTTGCTGGTATCAGTAGTAGGTAGTCTCGACACTATTCTTTGATTTGCGTATGGTCATTCAGGAGCTTGTCTGATATGCCGCAATATTGACTGGCAGACATGTCTATCATTCACAGTCGAAAACCTCCATTATTTCAAATGCCTTGACTGGAAGTAATAATAATATTGTTTCGGGTTGTTCGTATCTGCGGCATGCCTTGCACACTGCCATAACAAACTTTTCAAGGAGAGAATTACGGAGTCCATCACAGACAGCTAATAGCGTAAGGAGCGCAAGAAAAGCAATGGTTTCACGTCGAAACATCGCGAGTAGAGGTTGACTACCGTCCGCCATGGCCGCCCGCTTGCTCCTGGCAAGCCAAGGTGCCTGGAGCAGGTGGTTGAAACCTCGCGAATAGCGCTGCCCTTTTTTCAAAGATACTAGTGCTGTGTCGCCTGACATCGAATTTTTGGAGCTCATGTCCGTTGGCCAAAGCTCTATCAAAAAATACGACGGCATGACAACATGTATGCTCTCAAGTTGGTCATTTTGCTAGCCTTCGCCCTCCCGATCAAATGCCTGTCCATTAACTATGCTACCAGATATCGGCAGCTTCAAGTCATAAGAAATCTTCACCGCCAACTGGCCATGTTAAGGCTGCAGTGAAGTGGGTGAGTATATAATTATCCATTTGGCAAAGATATGATAACATCAGGCTAATGAAATCTTTGAAATGCACCAAAAGGACTAATCCTTATGTGGTACAGTTCTTTCACTTGTGTTCTGACAAAATCCCTGTCCAAATTTGACTGCCACCATCTGGCCATGTCACCACCATCGATACTCCCAAGCGAAAGGACGCGTCTTTAGTTTTCCGCTTTCTTCGCAGCATCCCAAGTCTCCCTAGTCTCCTCCTCGATAGTCTCTAGAATCAACCCCTTGATTCCAGCCTTGTTTAGAACCTGATCAACCCCAAGTCTCTTCCCATTGAGGGAAGGGAAAAACTTCCAGGTCCCATCCAGATGCATGTGGACACCACCAACTCGCGTTCCCTTTATAGTCTCCAGGTGAAACGACAGTACCAAGACCGGGTCTTTTGGATCGTTGTGTGACTTGTGGGCTCTCCCACCACTGTAACATGTGGTTAGCAAGCGGGGTAGTGAATAGGTTACATAGGAGGACATACTGTCCGCGAACGACCTGGATACGATTGTCCTGCAAGTTGGAGCAATGTTAGTTGTGCTCCGGTACTCTTCACATCGATCAAATGAGGGGAAGGTGTAACTTGCAGCTGCCTCAATTCTATCCCTAGCTCGCGAAACTGATTTTCCCACTGTTCCCCATCTGGGCCGTTCTGCGTTCTGATGGAGTCGAGGAAATCCTGAGGGATCTCAGCCAGCTGAGATGCAGAGGAGCTGAACGGTCGTGAGAGTTGACTCGCTAGCGGATCGATGGTGCGTTTCAGAGGGTTCATGGTGACGAAAGGAGTAGTTATCCAAAGCGGTTGACGAGAGGAGTTTAATATATTAGTTTATTGTATGATTTTGCCTGGAGAGCATTTAGGGGATTGAAGTTTGGAGAGGAAAGATCTCTTCTTTCCCAAGAGCAAATGACGGTTTTTATGTCCACGAGAAATCAGCCATCCTTAAGCGCCGTTGTCTTCCTCAGGCTATCTGTTTATATAGCCGGTTTCTTTTTTGGGGCCATGCAGTTATCCCAGCCCGTTTCGAAGATTGCACAAGGCGCCAAAATCCCTTTCGCAGCCTCCTGTCCAACCAAGACAAATCCATATACTCCAGCTAACACCTCTACGCTGCATAAGCTTCGGCATTGCTTCAGGAGAGCGCTGTTATTCGTGTGTTGATGAGCGGCGTCTCCAGTGTAAATCTTGAGCACAGGCGCCTGGCCATCAGCCGGCCTGGTGATGCCTCTCCGTTGAGGCTCCAAAGTAAGCAGAGTAGCCAGACAGCACAGAGGTACAGTACAGTCTACAGAACCTATGATGCCTCGCCCGAATCGGACGTAGACGCTTGTGCACTGTATCGTAGTACGAGCACAGCGTGTTGAAGTAGGAAACGCAGAGGTGCGAGGAATACAAGCCGCCCACCTAGGCCTAGTAGCTACTACTAGGCCACGAAAACGTGAAACATCTTAGCTGTAGGGGCTAGCTAGTCCTTGCATCTTGTTAAATCTCGGATGCCCCCAAATATAGTAATTGGCAGTGAAGGAAGCAATTCTTCCACGACGTTGGCGAAGACACGGTCTTGGCAGCGCTGAGCGCACGGTCCAGCCAGGCCGGGATGCTTCAGCTCGCAGACGACTCCGCCTCGAGGTACTAGCCTTTAGAGACGGGCAGAAGAACTAGCAACTCATGAATGCTGTGTGAGATGAGGGTGTGTATTCAGCGGTCACTTGGCACTGGCTACCCGCGCTGCCTTCTGCCAAAGTGGCACGGGGCGTTCCGATCATCATCTCATCCTCCATTCTCGCCTGTATGTCGACCAACACTGCAATCCCAACGCCATCCAAGCATCGCTAGAAGAGCTGCGATGTCCTCGTCACCCTTGTTGGGAACAACGCTGCCCATGGCGGCACGTTCGTTTCCGACATCTGGATTTGAACAACTGGACCCGACAGATCCCATCGAAGAAGAACTTCTCCCAGGGTACAAGCCTGAGCAGTTCTACCCAGCAAACATTGGGGAAGTCTTCAACGGCAGATACCAAGCACTCTGCAAGATTGGCTATGGAACAACCTCGACTGTATGGCTTGCTCGTGACCTCCAGTAAGCACCTCTTATTTTTTGATCCTCCCCAGATGAACAGTGGGACTCACGGCTTTCTTGCAGGACTTCAGAGGGCCCTTCTGCATATGTTTCCCTCAAGATATACACAAATGGCTATGTCAGAGGTGATGAGCTTGCAGTATTACAGCACATCAACACTGTCTCTGCTGAGACAACACATCCAGGCCATCAGGATATCCGCAAATTGCTTGCCTCATTCGAGATCAAAGGACCACATGGCGTGCACATGTGCCTTGTACAGCAGGCTCTGGGAATGAGCCTCCATGGGCTTTTACAATTTATCCCCACAAGATCTCTGAGTTTGGAGTTATTGAAGCCGTTTCTTCGACAGTGTCTGTTTGGTTTGGATTTTCTGCATACAACAGCGGGAATAATACACACAGGTAATTCATGCTAGCCAGAATTTAACAAAGGACCAAGTTAACGGTGGATCAGACCTCCAGCCAAAGAATCTCCTTTTCCCAGTGGATAGCCCGTTGATATTTAGCGACTTGGAGGAGGATGAAATCAAGAACCCTTCCGCCCGGAAAGTGCTTAGCGACCGGGTCATCTACCAGACCAAAGAACTCCCTCGTCCACGTCGGGGCTTCCCTCTCATTTGTGACTTTGGAGAGGCGACATTTATGAACAAGGACGGACATCCCCATACCGACGACATTATGCCCGATTTATTCAGGCCTCCGGAAGTGGTTATGCGTATGGCCTGGGATGAGAAGGTTGATATTTGGAGCATTGCGCTGTTGGTGAGAGAATCACCATGCCATACCATGTGATATACATTTGCTGACTTGATGGCTCAGACCTGGCATCTCGTTTCTCCTCGCCCTCTCTTCGACCGTCGTAACCCTGAGACCGGAGAACCTGATGATAGGTTCATGATTGCACACCTTGGGGCACTTCTGGGTCCGCCACCCCCGGAATTCAGACGCAGAAGCGCTGTATGTCAGAGTTTCTGGGATGAGAATGGTAATCAAACGGCTTTATTTAATATCTCAATCCAAACGAATATCGCATGCTGACTCGTTATTTTGGTCTAGGAAAATGGACGGACGCAGTCCCAATGCCTGAGCTTACACTTGAAGACCTAAGCACGGGTATCATAGGGGAGAACAAGGCTGGCTATTTACAGTTCCTACGCAGGGTACTTCGGTGGCTTCCTGAGGAGCGGCCAACCGTTAGAGAACTCATTGTTGACCCGTGGCTAATGGAAGGCCTTGGGGGGAAGAAGGCAGCGGGGGGTTGATTGCCATTGAGGCAGGCCAAACCCAAGATTCAAGAGGGCGGAAGGAGTTCCAGTTGCTGGATATACCCGGCTCCGTTTTGTGCATGTGCTATGGATGGTGGAATTTATTACACCAGACATTTGAACACCTGGCATTCTTATATTATAACGGCTAAGGAGCTAATCTGCATCAAACAGATCTTCTTCTTCTTCTCCAGAGCTCTCTTCTATCTCTGAGATCTCTTATAATCAAGAAGCAACTTCTGATGTACAGTTAATGCAAGCTCTCAAACAAATTGTCAATACTAATTCTCTTAAGTCTTAACTCTTATCTCTCTTGAGTTACAACAAACTCTGGAGATGCCTGAAATACAGTCATGAGCTCCTGCATGCAGTGAAGAAAACAGCAGATCTAGATTCTGCTTATATTTTTTACAGCAAACATACATGAAAGCTCTCTAATAATGAAAGCTCTGGTACTGATGCCAGGCTCTCAAGACAAGAGATCAAAGATGAAAAGAATGAGATAACAAGATGTCTGTAAGAGAAATATCTGGATGATCTTTAAGACCCTGAGTTTAAGATTAAACAGATTATAAAAGCCTTTAATAAGAAAGACTACTTTGAATAAAAAGTGGAGCAGTCTGAAATACAAAGAATTTCTAGCTTTATAACTATCTCTTTGATCCTCAAGTTGTAATGATGGAATAGAATTGGTACAGAGTACTAAGATTTTGCAATTTTGACAGAGATGAATATGTCAGCATTCTCAAGCAAGATTCTGAGTGCTTCTGTTATGAATGTAAACCTAGACCAACCAAGTATCAGACAATATCAAATGTTCAGGGGAACTCACATTGTAGTAGGGATTCCAGTACCTCATTAGGACAAAGGTTGTTCCAGTCCAAGATGCAAACCACCCCAAAGCTACTATCTCTGAGCTATATAAATCACCTATAGCTCCTGCATCTTGCTTATTACCTTCACACATTATTGCACTTTCCACACACTCATTCTTTATTACCAGTTCAGTTATTAGTTAGAGAATATGAAGATTTCTTGTTTATGAAACTTGCTACTATTTCTTATTAGAGCTGCCTGTATTAGTACAGAGCTCTTTAGTACTATTACTTCTTATAAGCTTAGGTGTCTGTTAGAATATACCTATCTCTACACTTACTAGTCAACCATACTCTTACTATATTGTGATTTTTTATCTTTCTTGTGCTTTCACTATATCAATCAACTCACTGATCTTGACAAAATATCTTATTGTATTCTGCTTCATTTGATGATCAAGCTAAGATCTGAAAATAATAATATAGTGATTTGGTGACTATTAAGAAAGAAAAACAAATTCTGAGATACATGAAGCAATACACTATTTCAAGATAAGATCTTATAGACTAGGAACATAGTACTAATCAGGTTTTTTTATTTAGAAATAAGATTAGAGAGCTTAGATTTGAATGCCTCTTATCTAGAGCTTGCCTGATAAACAGGTTTTTGGAAGATATTAACTTATAGACAGAATATACTGTATAATATAATTAAAGATCAAGAAATTAAGAAATTGAAATCAGAATCAACTATGGCTGAAGATACTACAGAATTATATACAACTATATCATAAGATGAGAACAAGAGAATTGTGGTTCATTTCCATATTTGTATATCTTTCTCTGGCATGGCAAATATATCTTTATTTAATGGCAGAGATGCTATTCTGTTTATTGCAAGGTTTTATCAGATGTGCAAGAATTATAGAGTAATTAACTCTAAAAACATTATTAAATGATTGGCTAGGTACTGTGTTATATGAATTGAAGAATGGATAAAGATCTTGAAAAACTATACAGAAGATAATTAGAAAGTATTCTTCAAAGAAATTATTTATAAATTTTGTGATCAAGACATTACTTACAAGATTTACTGTTGGAATTACCTCTGCACAATTACAAAGAAACCATATACTTGAAATGACAATATTCATGCTTATGTTTAAGAATACACTATTATTGCCAGTACAGTTCAAGCAAATAGAAGGCTTGATAAATTTACTAAGATATCTTGATTTCTTCAGAGACTATCTGAGAATCTTTAAAATAAGATTATTGATAAGATCAAGCTCAATTTTTCAGACAATATGTCATCTATTGATTTTAGGAAAGTTGTTTGGGTGATTATAAATTTGATCAACTAGTATGAAGAAAATAAGAAGATCTTCAAAAAAGATGAAATAAAACAGAAGAAAATAAAAAAGCTTGATAAGTAATATTAATTAGCTAACAATCTTTCTACAGTTAAAGCTCTAAAGAAAACAGCTAGTTCTGCAAAGACTAAAGAATCTGAATCAAAATTCAATGTCAAGAGTTCTGAGAGCACCAATATTGAAGCTGCTATTGAAAAGATAACCAATGAGTTTATAAATTTAGTATTGATCATGAGAGTACCATCAAATCAGATACAAGAGAATTCTGATTAGTACTATATACTGCAGAGAGAAGAATCTCTGAAACTCATACAAAATTATTCAATAACTAAGACTGCTAATTCTATAATAGTACAAGAAAACACCTAACCTCTAGTTAATTCTTATATGACTTAAAACAGTTTGCTAATGACAGGCTACTACTCTAGTAAATAAGAAGGAGCTTGAACTGGAGAAACTTTAACACATCTCTCATGCTTTTACTGTGGAAAATCTGAACACTATCAATTTCAGTATTATGAATACCAACATGATGTGAATAATAAGTACTGTCATATTAATGACAATGGGAACTTATATATGAGTTTTTCTGATCAAAACTATTGAGTTATCACTTCTAAATCTGGAATCCTGAACATGTATATTGTACAGTCTATAGAAGAGAATGAATGGGTGATTCTGAAGTTAATGAGCTCTAAAAAGAGGACTAATTAGCAAGAAGAGATATCTCCAGCAAATTCAACCAGTATAAAGATTCAAGCAGAATAACTTATATATCTAATATCTGATAAAGAATCTGATTTGAATAAGAAATATAAATCATTGAAAGAAAGAACATCAATTAATATCAGAATAGTTGAAGAAGCTAAGAATAATTAAAAAACTAAGATTGCAATACTTCATACTTAGTGTAATAGACAATTTATTACTTACTGAGATAATCAGGCTAGTGTTGATAATAATATCATGAAAGATGTTATTATTATTATTATAATTATTATTCATTATAGTCTTATGGAGTCAGTGACTATGAAGACTACCTAGCAGCTAATCTGTTAGGATTTAATTAATATACATTATAGAAACTGAAAAAAAAGGGAAATTAGAGTATTTCAAGGCAATATGAGATATTCTTTCTGCACAAAAGTCAAATAACAAATAGTATATAATATCAATTTCAAGAAAATTCAAAGTTCTTGTAGGAGTGTCATACAAACAAAGAAAACAAAGTTAACAAATTTGGGAAAGCTACTGTTTAGTAGCTATTCCAGTATATTTTAGAAATGAAACTAGCTATTCTAGACCTAATTCAGTTTCAAAAATAAAATTTAAAAATAGTTGAGAAATATTAAGTTCTTGTTAAATTTTTCTTCTTTCAGTTTGATAAGCTGAGCAGTCCAATAATAAATGCTTTGGGTTTTTGACACAATTGCAGAAAGAGCATAAGTTAGAAGAGTAATCAGATAATCTTACTAGATAAGATCTGAAATATTCATGACCAAGCTTCAATTAACAAATAGTTGACCATATCTTTTTAGATATAGAAAGTGTAGAAGCTTTCCATCTGGGTTTTATCTTGAATTGAAAGTAGTGATTTATAAACTTTTCTCTATTAAAAAAATCTTCATACCACTCTATTATTGCTTGTTCTTTAATTTGTCTCTTAATATAAGTAAGAGATATACATCTCTCTGAACAAACTTGATTTAATTCTGTAGCTCTCTTTGCTGCTAGATCAGCTTCTTCATTTCCATGTATATTTACATGTGCAGGAACCTAATGAAGATGTATATCAATTTGCTGATTTTTAATATACTTAGCAGTTTTTCTTATAGATTTTAGATAATATAAGCCAGAATTAAGCCCCTTCTAGTAAGGGCTTTGCACCTTAAGCTACTATATACAATGCTTATAGCAACTGACTGCTGCATCTGTCCTGTCAGGCCCCCTATCAGATTCTGCTTCCCTAGCTAGGGGCTGCTGCCCATCTGGAACCCCCCAAGCCCCAGACTTTCAGCTACCAATCTCAGCATCCCAGCCTACCAATTGGCCATCACAGTCTTGCCCCAGGGGGCTCTATCACCCCCTGGAACTAACCACCTATCCTATAGCCTATAGCTTATAGCCTATTGTGTCCCCATGCTGTATCTAAGACTTAGCCATAAGTTATTGCTAAGCAGAAGCCTAGACCCACACACACAGCCCTGGAAGGCCAAGATAGACTCAGGGTGCCCTGTCTAGCTAGCTCCCCCTGCCAGCCACTAACCAAGCACACAACTAGTAGCCAAGCACACTTCCCACCTCACACACAGTGGGGCAGCAAGAGTTCCAGCTACTCAGGTGGTTTTTAAATCTATTTCCCAGTTAAAGACAGCCCCTAGAGGCCCCTGGCTTTTAGTTAAGAATAAAGCTGAAACTATTTAAATTTTATCACCTTTTTTGGCGGGCAAAAAAGCATTAGTGGTGCCTGTGGAGGGATTCGAACCCCCGCCCCTGGGGGAGGGCAGCCTGAGCTGGGTGCTGCTGTTGCCATTGAGCCACCCGCGCCGGGCCATGAAAGATGTTGAATTGATTAATCAGAAGAAGCCTGAAATTTAAAACAAGTTTGTAAAGAAATAAAGACAAAGATATTTTGCAACAGATTGTTTATTCTCTCAGATTCATGATTCAATGAATATCAATAAATTAATAAGTTGAATTCTTAATGAAAAAGTTAAAGTGTCAGTTAAGAAGCTTATAGATGTATTACTAAAGCTTTATCAAGCATTCTTCAGATCAGACTGAAATAACAGTGCTAGTAAAAGCTATGCAAAGATTGAAATCTCTGAACCAGTTCAGCCCAAGCTAAAGATTAATTCTGGTTGACTTATATCAAAGCTTATAGTGCTAAAATCTAAAACAGCATATGGAATGTGTTTGCTATATCTGCTAGTTATTATAAACCAACAAAAATTAATGGTGTTGATTGATACTGGTTCAGAAATCAATTTGTTATCTTGAAAGTATGCTGAAATATTGAATCTGTTAATGAAAAATAAGCTGTAAGTGATTATAATTGCTCAAATGGGAGAAGTTGCTTCTTTTTATATATTTTGTGACAAAGTGCCTTTTCAAATTGGAGATATTATTACACATACTCCTTTTCTTATATTTAAGAAAGGGGATCAGTAACTTATTCTTGAAAGATCTTGATAATTTACTGCCTGTTGGGAATGCAACATCTCAGAAGATGATGAAGTGAACTATAAAATTTATAATAAGAAATGAATTTGTTGTCTAGTTTTTGAATACTTTAAGCTAAACTCAAGCAATATAAAATATACAACTGATAAATTGAACAGCAATCATTTAAATGATTCAATAAGTATTTAATCAGGCAGATGTCTGTGAATACAAGATCTGAGAAGAATGAAGAAGATGTGATGAAGATAATAAGTATAAGAATTAATAATGAGAAGATTGAAGATCAGAAGATTGAAAAAAATAGAGAAGTTGGAAGTATTAGTAGTATTACCAGCATTGGTGATTACAGCAATGAGAAGAAACATAATTCTAGTATTAATAAAATCAAAAGCACACTAAGTCTAATTAGATTGACCAGCATACTGGTGAATCAAATAGATCAATCAGAAGACAAGAATAATTTTGCATTGAAAGTTTAGATTTTCTGATCTCTACTTTCTGATCCTGATAGTGTTACAGCTTACTGCAAACATTACACATATAATATTAATTCCAGCTTAATTCAAAAACTTATTTCATAAAGTGCTTGATCAATTTACACATCTCTGAACAAAAATCATGATTTTGGCACAAAGAAATTGTGTCAGATAGATATTTTCAATAGTGAATAAAATATCAGGCTGTCTTCTTCAGAGATTTGAAGAGTGTGCACTGCTTATAAGCAGAAAGCTGATAAGATAAGACTATTAGCATCTGGAAAATCTGATGGAAGCAAGTCTGAAGATCTAGATAATTGAGTGAATGTTTGTTTGAATAAGTATTACTCTGAGAAGAAACATATCACATTTAATTATGAATTTGATAACTATATTAGGTCTAAAATTGGGTTCTTTCCTGTTGGAGAATAGCTAACAAATAAGAAAATTGAGAAGCTCAAAATTGGATTCAAACTGACAAGATAAGAGAAGAAATTTTTCATATCAGTCCTTTATAAACATAAAAGAGCATTGGCTTGGTCATTCAAAGATCTATGTGGCATTCATCCTGAATGCTTGCCTCCCCAAGTTATTCAGACAGAGCTTCATGAGACTTGGCAGACTAAGACTTACTAAATTTCTTGTGCTCTAAGGTAGTTCACCACTAAGTGAGCCACACCACTAAACAAGCTAAATCTTCTACCACCAAAATTCTTCCAATGTTCAACATTCAATATGCAACAACATGGTCAACAACATCTTAATTAGGCTTGCAATTGAAGATCTTGAATAATAAGAGACTTCAAATTACACTACAACTACAAGAAAGTACTCAGTCAACCAAGAGACCCTGTACCAATGGTATAAAGACTTGCAACTTGCTCAGAATAAAGCAACCTCCCAATATAAGAAAAAGCTCTCTGATATACAGGAGACAGAGCTTCTGAATTATATAAACAAGCTTTTTAGCTGCAGCCTTGCCATTACACCTCAGATTCTATAAAATATCATACAAGAGATGACTAGGCTGGTATTCAGGACTGGGACAGAATTCAATTTCCTATCAAATCTGGTCCTGGTCCTGAATTTAGAAACAGCCAGAATTCCAAATATGAAATCTCAGTCCCATGTCCCATCTCACTCAAGAGCTTGAGATTCTGTTCCCATTCTTATTTTAAAAATTATTTCCTGGTCCCATCCTTAAATAGAAAATTATGTCCCACATCTTATTTCAGCAGAGATAGTAGACTCTCATCTTTCATTTCAGCTAGATTCATAGTGGAACTGGAATGGGACCAGGATTTCTGGTTTCATTATGTCAAATTCATAGGAAAGAGTCAAACTGATCAAATTTTGTGTGAATCATTACTAAATTTTGTTACTTTTTTGATGAAGGCAGAACCTTTAAAAAAATCAATTTGATTGTCAAAAGAAACAAAGTATTAAAACTAACTAATAACTGAAGTTAGCAAACAAACAGAAACTGACTAAATAACAAGTTAATTATTATTGTCATCATCTTTATCATTATTATTGTTCTTCTTCTTTCTCTTTTTTTCTTCTTTTACTTCTTCTTCTTCTTCTTTTTCTTCTTCTTCTTCTTCTTCTTCTTCTCCTGCTTCTCCAGAACTGGCTTTGTGAACCAGACAGAGGCTCTAATACCTGCTATTTGACAGGCAGTAATCATAATATACTTACAGTATATCATTGCTATAACAGAGTCTATATTACTTAGTATAATTATTGATGTTATTGCTAAGAGTAACTTACACTTAAATAAAGTGCACAAGATTGCTTCAGCTATCTTCTAAAGTAACTTAATAATAGTATGTTGCTAGCAATATTCATGTTCTTGATAATAGAACAAAGTAATTTCCTGAATTAATTACTGGAACAGGGCTATCAGCAAGATTAGCTTGGTAGAGCTCTGAAAGTGGTGAATTTTCTTAATAGCACCTATTTTCACTGATTAGCATCAAGACTATTACTAAAAATTATTACTTTTTAACATACAAGTGCTGGCCTTTCAATTTTAAATAAGAGGGCAGGGACAGAGATTCTTCTGATTAAAGTTAGCCAGATTAACATCTTTATTAGCTTTATGCTAATTACTCTTCTTCAGAGCTCATTCTTTTAATACAGTCTTGTGCCACTTCTCTCCAGCTGTGTGAAATAAACATGCATGGGGAAAACTAACATCTTATCAGTAAATAATATGTGCCAGAGCAGTATTCTGCAAGCACTCATCTCTTAACATAACTCATTTTGTCACAGTATATGTTTGTTATACAGGCAGATGTCGAAGTACAGTAAATAAAAAGATGGAGAGAGAGAGAAAATTATCAATATTAGCTCTAAAGACAAAGAAGAAGAAGAGAAAGAGAAAGAGAAGAGAAGAGAGACTAATCTAATATTATTATTCTATAGTCAGCATAGCAATAATGTGTTAATCTTGCCTACAGCAACATGTCTGTAGAATGTAAACAATATGTATAGTAATTATTTTACAGTACTTGATCAATACACTCTATAATTTTATTATTCTGTAACTAGTATAGCAACAATGTATTGAGCTTGCCTATAGCAACATGCCTGTAGAATGTAAACAATATGTATAGTAACTATTCTATATAAGTATTTAATTAATATACTTTATAATCTTATTATTCTGTAGCCAGCAATTCAACTTATTGCATACAATCATGAAGATGAGGCCAAAACAATATTCAATAAGAGAGAAGATCTGTATAATATGAAAGCACTGCCAGATCTTGAAAGACCATTAAAGAGACATATTCAAGATAGAAGAGATGGATTGCAAGGCACACTATAATATACTGAAGAGAATCTGAGCAAAATATAAGTAATATACATTCTCAGTAGTTTGTATTGAATTATATTGACATTCATTGCAGGCAGAATAGCAGTGAGAAGAATCACAAGATGATTAAAGATAAAGCTATTAAAGAGTTAATAATTAAGTGATTTGCCAAGAGCAAGTCAAAGAAGTATCATAAGCAACAGCTTATGGTCCCTTAGCAAAAGAAGAGAAAGAAGAAGAAGAAGTATTGCTGAAAAGAAATTACAGAGACTGAGAATAAAGCTTAGCAGAAAAAGAAGATAGAATTTAAAAGTAATAAAATTTAGTAATAATTCTGACATATTTAGATAAAAACAAGCCAGATACAGCATTCTATTGCTGTATATAGAGAGGCCTGATTCTGCCAAATAATAGCCAGACTTGAGATCAAGATCATAACCCATGGTCATGAATATCTTACTGTGATTAGTGTGTTGAGAGAGAGAGTTGAAAAGAAGATAAGAGAATTTCTGAATTAATTACAGAGTCTGAGTAAAGATAATAATAGTCTATCTGCTCCAGAGAAGATAAAGAAAGATGATTTTTAGATTATGATGTTCTCTGATAAGAATAATGAGAAGAATAATAAGACAGAGAATGATTGAATTATTGATATCTAAAGAAGAAAGTTAGATTTTTAGTTCTTTTTTCATATTAATTTGAGAATGGGGTGCTATTAAATTGGCAAAATGTTTTATTTTCCTGAAGAAGAATGTTCTATTTTGTAGATGAAGAAGATTTTGTAGTTGATTGCTCTACTTACAGAGTAAAATAAGGCTAACTATCTAGAGATTATCAAATTTTGCTTGGGCTCTGACCATATTTTGTTACTTTTTTGACTAAGGCAGAACTTAGAGAAAAATTAATTTGATTGTAAAAAAAAAAAAACAAAAAAAATAATCTAATAACTGAAGCCAGCAAGCAAGCAAAATCTATAAAGATTTTTTCAGAATTGATTATAGTTCAACATGGAAAAAAATAATTTGTATTATAAAAGGAGCTGCATTATAAGTTGTTTATTACTTGATGGTTGACTACTGAAGCTACTTAGTTGGTTAATGATAAGAAGCATGGTGACTCCAACTGAAAGACAAAGTAACACTATTCTGATTTTTAGTCAAAATTTGATTAGGTGGCAGAGCATTCTAAGAGTACTCCAGAAGTAATTTGCAAGCATTATTAAATCTTTCTCAGCTATTCAAGCTTTTCTTGAAATGGTACAAGTAATCTGAAGAAGCATTTAACAAGCAAAGATTGTACAAAAACTGGTAATGGACAGAGTAACACTCTGATTAATATGATGGTAGATTATAGATTCTAATTTTTCAAATGTAATAAATTTTAGTAACAGTTCTGGTGTCTTAGCAACAGTTTTCAAAGCATTCTCAAACAGATTCAGATCTGTCTGTTCCTGAATGCAATTAAGATAATTTTCTCTAGTAGCTTGTGCAAACATTAATATTCTTGAATCTCTCATTTTATGTTATTGAGAATCCAGCATTCTACACATTAATAATCATGCTCAACTCTGTAATGACTTTACAGATACTCATGCAAGAAACATTATATCAGATCATAAATAATATATACAATCAGCTATTCTAAAATCTTCTCTTTAATTATGACTCAATAATTAAAGTATCTCTGGCAGTGAATAATTAGACAAGTTCCAATAATCTTATCTTTATGGCAATTAATAGTTATTATATTACAAAGAATTGGAAGTACTGTGAGTATTTACTGAATTTTGAAAGTTTAGAGAGTGCTTATACTGACAAGAATATAGTAGAGATTCTTCAATAATTACTAGTAGTATAAAGACTTGAGAGTAATCTTCTTGCAATTACAAGTAACAATATGTCAAACAATAGTATCATGCAAGCACATCTTATATATTAGTTGAGGCCAGCATTGCAGCAGTTAAATAAAACAACTAATTAAAATGCAGAGAGTGAAATAATACTCTGTCTTGCTTATATAATTCAACTTGTGATTTGAGAGCTGGTTTACAATCTCAAGATTTAGCCAGACAATAATGCTTTACCTACTATCTTTAATGAGAGTTTAATTATTGATGATCTAGCATCAACAGACATATTTGCAAATACTCTTAGAAAGATAATGAAATTTAATAATAGTCTTGATATACTTGAGTTAATTTACTAATCTTTGCTTGACAATAGATTTATCTTATTACTAATATAATTAATGTCTCCCCTGAACTTGCTGCATGTTTCTGAGAATATCAACAAAAGAACCAGCACAAGATGATTCAAGATGTTTGCACAAGATAGAATTTTATTTATAAGATATGTGTTTGTGTCTTGTTGCTTTAACAAGCTGTGAACTTATGAATCCAGAACTTATTACCAAAATACTAAAGACTTTGCTTATTGAATTATGACTGAAAGCAGCTAGAGTATATGATTGAACTGTTGCAGCTACTCAGTTAATTTATCAAGATACTGTTCAAAACAACAGATTCAATAATTCATCTGATATGAGTAATGTATAATCATTTTTTCCATTATATAGAAAGAGAGAAGAACAAGATCTAACAGTTAACAACAAGAGAGAATATTCAAGAAGCTATCAAAGCTGCCAACTTGAAATTCCAGAAATACTATAGTGATACTGAGTATTTAAAAAGTGAGCTGCTATCTGTAGCTGCTGCTCTTCATTATCATACTGCATAAGAGCATATAATTCAGAGAATTGGATCAGTAATGAGTATAAAACATACTGATAATATATTTTGAGGTTTTACAAAAAGTATTATGAGAAATATAAACAGTCAAGAGAAGTAATACTTGATATAAATAATATATGTTTGTTATAAGTATTATTCTGATTTCTTCTCTGCTAACTTTTCTAGAATATTGAGCAAATAATTTTTGAGAGACCTTATCAAAGATGAGCAAATTTCCAAAATAAAATAAAGTGATATTTAAATAATGAAAATTTGACATTATCTTAAGCTTCAATTCTGGAATAGTGGAAAATGCTAGAGTCTGATTTTCCAACTATTGCTTGAATAGCAAGGAACATTCTGGCTATATCTTTAACAGAGATTGAAGTAGAATGGGTTTTCAATGTTACTTGAAATACATATTATTATTGATGATTGCAGCTTCATGCATCTACAATCAAGAAGATTATACTGCTTAAACATGAAGATAAAATATATATGCTAGATGAAGTACTTATATTGCATGAGAAGTTGGCCAAGAAAGTCATTCAAGATAATCAAGATAATCAAGATATCCCAGAGATTATATGGGAAGAGATTGCAAGCCTGCTAAATTCACTACTCAATCCAGATAAGAAATAGAAAATATGTTAATATTATCAATAGATAGACTCAAGTAGCTAATAGCTTGCAATATAATCCAATTATGTAAAGAGTATTACCAAATTTTGGTACTTTTCTGAAGTTGAATAAATTGATAAAATTATATTAGAACTGTTACCAAATTTTGTTACTTTTTGACAATATAAATGGAAGTGAGGTTCCTGATCCCATTCTACACTTTACTGGTTCTGTTCCATATACAATATTGAAATCCTGATTCTATTTTATTTTATCATGTCAGGTCCTGGGCCTGTTCTACTAGCTAGATTTTGATCCTGATTCTAATCCTATTCCAATCCCAGTTCCCACAGAACTGTCCCAATATACTGTTAAACAACCTGGTTCCATCTCATTAAGCTGAGCTTCAATCTGATCCCATCCTCAAAATGGCAATTGGGATGGGAATCTGGAACCAGAACAGGAAATCCCAGAACCAGATACCACTTTACATACTCTACATGATATCTTGAAGATAAACATTACATCCTGATGGAGA